TTTTTTGGGGGGGGGGGGGGGGGGAGGGACCATATGTGGAACCTATGTAAATATAAGAGGCAATTTTAAAACGGAAGGATGACATGTGAGATAGGAAGCTGCCCCTAAAATTTTAACCTCCCAGTTTCCTCGCTTGATGAGCTGAAAAGGGGGTGACAAAGTTCACTCGCTTCCGAAAGCACCTATCGACAGTACGAGTTTCTGCTCACTATAGCAGCGCTATAGTACTGCACAGCAAAGGCTCATTAAAAAACCCAAGATGGAATACCCCGGGCTTGTGGGTGAGATTGTGCGTTTCTGCGCCAGACTTAAAGTACTCAGGTCGTTAACTGCTTGAATGAGTAATGCTTTACGCCTACCTTTTGCGCTCACTAGCGTAAATCATCATAAATTTTGCATAAAGTAAATGAACGATTTCCATTTAACGATCATCCTTTGGAAGTGATCTGGCTATTTCATGAGCAATTTTCTCGTCAAAACTTTTAAGTGCCTATGCGCGATAACCACGCATACCTGGGAGCTCAGTTTGAGATATTTAAGTCGCACTTGGACAGGAAACATTCCCCCAAAATTTCAGCTTTCTAGCTTTTCTGGTTTCAACTTTCTAGCTTTTCTTGAATTAGTAATTTTCTCGCCAAAACTTTCACCTGCCCTTACGTGGAACAGGTGAAAGTTTTTCATCTGTCCTTACGTACACAGATGATGATATTAAAACGTGAGGGTTGCACATAGTGCAGACAAATACTTTCGAAGTTTCAGCCTTCTAACTTTTCTGGTTCTCGAATTGAAAGCGGGTGATAAAAAAGCGCGAACAAACATACAGCCTCTTGTCAATACGCGTTTTTGAATTTGTATATATGCATAAAAACGGCCAATTTTCTGATATACATTCTGTACGTACACGAGGCACGATAATAATGGCACATCGCGCTGCACAAGAGTTTTCTCTAAGATGTCTCTTCGTCCTTCATAATTGAAAATAACGCCCTGGCTCTAGTAGCGGTATCGCCCTCTTAGAGAGCAATTAGCACAAAGATTAGTAAAAAATACCAACAAACTGTGCCATATATTTAGATGAGTGAATTATAAAAGTCGAAATATATGAAAAACATATCACATTTTTTATAGGACTGAATAAGAACTTCTACTATCTGCAGTTCTACTCCTTAGCGTAATCGGTTTCTTTTATGCATTCTGTGACTTCATCGTTATTTTATGTAGTTTTAAGTAGCATCACTGAATTGTTTTTGTAAAAAGTTGGTCCGAATTTCGATCTGAATTCACTGGACGGATGTACATCCACTTCATTTTTGCAGTCTTGTGCAATATCACTACTGTGGTACTGCTGTGTCTGCATGTCTCAACTTCTTAGCATCTGTTGCTCGGCAGTAGAATTATCTGCCATGAGGCGTTTTCATTTCTACATCAGCTTATGAAAAGGCGCACTCGGTTTAACTCAATATCATTTATTCTTAACATTTAGCTTGGATGGGTCACAAAGCAGGTCACTAAATTTTTCAACTGTGAGTACGCGGTAAAATTCAGAATTCTCAAAAAGGCGGAAATTAGGGGACCGGAGAATTATTCTGAGGCAGCGTAGCAACAGATTTTCTTTCGCAGTTATGAAAGCTCTTTTTCAAAAGGTTTTCATTCTGAGGCTGCGCGCATATCCTGGCAAATGTAAATCCGTCGTTTCAGAGCTTGCTGCTGCTGTTATTGCTTGGAGCTGTACAGCTGGACCTGTGTTCGTCATTATGCGCAAATATCGGCAATCACTGCCAAGACACAGGCTGTCGACTTCACGGCGGTCGCTGTAACAGCGCGTGCATCTGTGCGCAACGCAATGATGCACAGTTCTTATCAGCATCAGCTATGCAGTGTCATTAAAACGCAGTTGGGTTAGGCTCTTGAGTCATATGAACAATGCAAAAGTGGCAGATTCAGTGCGCACCAGTATTCGCTGGTCAGCACGAAAATTTTATCGGGAAATATGTTTGGTTTTTCTGAAAAAAGACGCCTGTTCTTGCCTGGGAATAACAGAGTAAATCCAAAGCATTCAGTGAGAAAACGACGAAAAAAAATTGCAAAAGATGGACATGCTGGAGGTGTTATTTTGTGAAACGATTGTCAAATCTGAGATTACGCTTCACTTATTAAGCATTTGAGGAGGATGCATCAGAGATAAATAATAATGCTGTGAAGGAACGCAGGGATATTTTATTGTGCCTTTGCATTCAGCTAGTTGTGCTCTGCCAATAAAATTTTGTTTTGTCAGTGATACTCTTTGATTAATCACATTTTGCACTGATTTGAAATCAACCGGGAAGCACATGCAAAAACGAAAAAAATACATTATTCAAATCAGTATCCATTTGACAAATTCACATTCATCCTTTGTCCTTTTCAGGCAGAAAGCCGTAGGTCAGACAGTGGAGGGGAAAATAAAGTTCCTAAAAGCGCTGTCCTTCATTGCGCTGAGGATATGCTGACTTTTCAGGGAGTGAAGTGCTAAGGATGTTTTTAGCGGCCCGCTTTATCTGGAAATAGTTATCAGCATCACAGTTCAAGAGAACTGCACTAAAGTTATAAATTTTGTTTACGATATTTGGTGAATGCTCGCATAATCCAAACAAACCATTTAACACTGTTATTTATATTTGAAATCACATTCCGCATACATAATTGATACATTCAGTCAGAGTATTTAAGAAGAGCTCCTCTGTACTCCGCAAGCCTCCGATCATCAATTCAGGCCCTCTCTTCAGTGTGCGTTTGCGTATTTCTTCAACTCGAGTCTGTCTAAACAGTCTGAAGAAATTTTTATTTCGGCCCTGAAATGCTGCTGCAGCTATTCTGCGTATCGATAATTCTTATGAACACGAAATTCACTTGCGCTCAGACCGGTAAGCAACCGCCATCTGAGCGATCCATCAACCATCTCCTATGTCTAGACCTAACACGAATTTCATTTCAAGAGTCTTAAATTCATCTCGGAAGCTCAGACAACTAGGAAAAGCAAAATTTTTTACAAGAGGCTAAATCAGTTACTCATTTTTAGAAAGTTCGACGGGTTCTGCTGCGCCACAGCAATTGCCATTTACTTTGCCGACATTGCCACCGCTAAAGTTTCACGCGCCGTGGGAAATACCGCCAAGGATTGAACTTTTGGCTTACAGAAAAAAGCGTCAGACGCCACAAGAAGTAGCGGCGGCAAATCAGATACGGAAGGAACTCGAGATTCTGGAAAAACGAAGAAAAAATATTGCTGCCGAACGAGCGAAATTACAGGAAAAAGGTATTTTTGGGATACAGGGGCGTAGTCCTTCCTGCTTTCCCAAACCCTCGAACTGAGCCTCGCTGGCTTGCACCAATACTTGTAACGTATTTTTTATGCCTCTCCAGAGGAGCGGCTGTGAAAAGCTTGGCATGACAAATGATACTTTTAGCTTTCATCTCAAAAAGACTCCGGAAACTTTTTTCTTCCAACCATAGACAAGCAGCAAAAGCTTGTAATATGTGGAATATTTCAAAGTGCTGTCTCATTTCAGGCTCTTGAAGATGCAGTGGAATTTTCATGATAATGGGAAACAAGATGGTTGGACATTAAAATCGCATTCGTAGACCTTTTGTGCTTTGATATGAAACGCTATGTAATTAGTGACTGGACAAAACTAAAAATTCTGGCGTTTAGAAGCGATAAAATATAGTGACCCTCGGTGAGCAACAATAAATTCTTGGTTAAATGTGCAGCTCTGCCTGATTTATCCAGTAACTGGAACTTCAAGCAAAGCCACATTTTAAAACCTTCTGCTATCAAAAACAAGTTTCAAAACCAAAAAAGTGACCAGAAAATGATTTTTAAACTGTTTTCTGCAATGGATAAACAATCAAAATTCTAAATACCTGGCATGTGCTTCTTTCCGCTGTAATATCAAGATGAATTTCCCTCAAGTACCGTAGTTTTGTAGTATGGTCAAATTTGAAAGCCGGTTTCCAGTTTTTGAGTTGCATTCTGTGCGGATTAAATCCTAAAAATTTCAAAATTCAATTTGCTTCACCACTGAGCTACAAAGTAAAAACAAATTAGGTGATGAGAAAACAACAAAGTTCACAGAATTGTTTGAGAATTCGTGTCAGATTTTTCGTTTTCCCACATGGCTTAGTAATAATACTTTAATTTTTATTTGCTTCTTAGCTTCTGTATCTGCGGCATGCTGTTGGGAAATAATTCACAACCTTGGAAAGACAAGCGTGTATGATGCATGCGTAGAAGTATTTTGTTAATTTCCCAGAGGTACTGAGAAATGATAGACGATTGCTTTCAAATTCTATGCACTGTGTTGATTGCGCGCCGCTTCTTTTCGCGTGCTTATACTAATATGATTGCCTTAGATAATGGATAATATGCACTTGTCTGAGCAGTAAGGTGTGATTTTACTTAGCTCTCTTCTTTATCAGCTCTGAATCAAAGATCGGTTACGAACAAACCGTTACTGAAAGCGTAATACACTGAGTTTTCAAAAGCAAGAGCCAAGTAGATCAAAATGCGCAATCTGAAACAGTTGAAGCAGCTGTTAGCTTATGCTCTGCTTTTCATTTGTGCAGCTGGTAACTTTCTCAGTTAATATAAACAGTGCTACACCACCTGGCGATCACATATGTTTCGTCTCCTGAGCGAACTGCCTGCTCAACTGTCCTCTTAAACGAGGCATTTGGTAAGCCTCTAGTGGTTTAAGAATGCCAGCAGGGCGTTGAGCAACATCGTTTCGTCTTGAACTTTGTGTGTGATTATTCTTGATCACCAGTCGATAAGCTACAATCACTACTCACGTCTTCTACATATCACACAACATGGCTGTGCACGAATCAGATACCGGGAAGAAATATCTGCTTTTTGATTAAGAAGCTATATCCGTTGGTAGACTTTTTTGTATCCTCTTTCGCTGTACTTTACACATAGTGACTGTTTTCCTCCATTTATCCTCGTTGGCTGACTTTGCATCATACATATCGGAAATAAAAATTTGGGACTGTCTAATTCTATCTAATTCTAATCAAGTCAGCAAAATAGCGAGCAGCACACATTCAATTACCTGTTGGCCGTCGGGTTACTGCGCAAATTGAACAGTTGGCTGCAGAACTGACCTCTGGCTCGCCAGTATTTAATGCTCGGTTACTGAGTTGATGCTAAATTCTAGATTATAGGGCTACTAGCAGCTAATTGTAAACTATATTTGGAAATATTTATAACCGAAACATATAAATATATGAAGAATTTACAGTTCAGTAGAGATTAATGTATTTCGGTTCATTAAGTTACACACATTTTGACCCAGCACCACAACTGAACTTCATCAGCACAACGTTTATGAAACAAGTTATTGCACATTTAATCTCATTCATTTCTTCCGAACTCCTGCAGACAAAGTTTGGCGTTGAATGGCAGCAAGAACAATAATGCTCCTGCAGAATGTTCACGTGTGGGCTTATCCCACTAAAAATTGGTCTGCCCACAGCAAATCTTCAAATCAAAAATTTAGAGGCGCTGTTTTATGTGTTTAACAAATAATGGCACACATTATGGTGACAGCACAACCACTTCTCTTCTTTGCACTGTAATACACACACACACACACACACA